TATATATATATATATATATATATATATATACTGTATATATAACAATCTTTTATTTTAGTGTTGTTATATAATATTAATATATAGTATTAATAAAATAGTATATATACACTATTATAGTATTTATTAATATTTTCAATTATATTTTATTTTAATTAAAAACTTTCCGTTTTTGTATTTTTGTTTAACATTTTATTAATTTTAAGTGTTTATGTTATAGTTTCTTTTTTAATATTTCTTTTTAGCTTTAATTGATATTTATTTCAGTTTTTGTTTTAGTAATTTTAGTACTTCCACTTATTTTCAGTTACTTGACAAGGACATTTAAGTTATTTAATATATTTATTTCAGAGTTACTGTTGTAGCTAACACAGCTTTTTAACAATCTTTCAATCTGAAGACAAAGTGATACGTTAAAATACTCAGGAGGGTGAACATGACTTTTTACTAATCAATTCCCGATTTAAAAATGGCAGTCTTGTGGAGAATTTGTACGATCTGATTCATAATTTGTATGATCTTGTTAGGGATGGATAAAAAAAAAAAAAGTTTTTCTACAAATCACATTGTATTAATTTCCACCTGGTAAAACGTTTTCTCGTGATATTGGGTTGGATAAAACAAATATCCTGCTTCACTCAGAAACGTCACTTTGCAAAAGTAAAATAGATTTTGAATGCCATTTCATGTTGACTTCAACCAAAATGTACAGTAGGTCTTCTAGATTTGGAAATCAAATAATTCACTTCAACATAAAACACCAACTCCGTCACAACATCCTTCAAGGACGATGAAAAAGTAGCTTCATCTTACACGTTCTTTCTCCTCCAGTGTTGTCCTGCTGTCACACACGAGATGAATTCACAGAATTCATGTTCTCCTCTTCTGAGACTTCAGGGCCTCGTCACGCTTGAACCGAAAGAAGACACGTCCTCATGACCCTCCGAGTCACTCCAGTCCAGGTTGTGAATAAAATACAAAACACCGAGGAATAGTCAGCTCTTTTAGTCATACATTAACATTAAACACAAGTCCCTGACAGAGAGATTCTTGATAGTTCTTCACCTAAATGTGTCCGACGTCATTTCCCACATCTGCTACCTTCATCCAGACTGTAAACTCTTCACATATTACGGTTTCCTAATTTATAACAGTGTGCCATTTACAGTGGTGGCCAAATTTATTAGAGCACTAGTATTCTCACGAGCTAAAAAAATGTTTTTTAGTCAGTTATTTCTATCTTTTGCTGTAGTGTGTCAATAGGAAATATCAGTTTACATTTCCAAACATTCATTTTGCCATTAATTGTAATAATCAAGTGAGATTTTTGTTTGTCCCTGTTGAAAAAACCAGCATATGCTGGTTAGGTATGTTTTGACGCTGGGATGCTGGTTTAAGCTGGTCCTTTGCTGGTTTATGCTGGTCATTTGCTGGTTTATGCTGGTCCTTTGCTGGTTTAAGCTGGTCCTTTGCCAGCACATGACCAGCATAAACCAGTAAAAGGACCATCATAAACCAGCAAAAGGACCATCATAAACCAGCAAAAGGACCAGCATAAACCAGCAAAGGACCAGCATGAACCAGCAAAGGACCGGTTTAAACCAGCAAAGGACCAGCATAAACCAGCAAAGGACCAGCATGAACCAGCAAAGGACCGGTTTAAACCAGCAAAGGACCAGCATAAACCAGCAAAGGACCAGCATAAACCAGCAAA